TTTGGTTTTGTCATATTAGGGGAAAGGGAGAAAAGATAACTGGAAGCCTGGAACACGCTCCAAAACCAAAAGTAGTTGATGTCGGTTCGTGGCGGCCTCAAAGCCGAAAGAACGAGGAAGCCACGAGGTGAATAGCTTAACCTAGTTGATGGACTTGACAAGACAAACAATCAAACACTTATATATATATATTGGCAAAATACACTTGTATAGCCATAACTTTAGACTTTGTGACAAATATAGCCTAATTTTGAAAAATACACAGATATAGCCACATTTTGAAAAGTAGTTAGACAAATTTAGCCATTTCCGTTAAACCTTTTAACACCGTTAGAACTTTATCAATAATGTAAACGTTACGTTGAGGTGGATGACACATCAGCTCCCACATCAGCTCTAACAAAACACACCATGCCACATGTACGCCACGTCACATTTTACTTAAAAATTCATTAATTTATTTTCATTAATAAACAACTAGTCCCATACCACTGCCTGCCAAAAAAAAACCCTTTTCCAAAAATTCCCCCTTACCCACACCGCCTCCCAACTCATCCCTACCATCCCATCCACCTGCTCGGCCTCACCTCCACCATCTTCAATTCCATGTCTTCAATTTCCTTCTTGTAAGGACAGCGTCGAAGAGAGCAAGGATTATAGTCGAGGTTAAAGAAGAATCATTGCTATCGATTGGGTTCCTTCGCACAGGTGAGTTTTGCCGCTACTGACGCCTCCAAATCCCGACCATGGAGGAGAGCGACCCGAGTTTGCCGATTGGATTTCCTTTGTCTTAAGTCGCCGTCGCGAGCTGGTAGTGGGAGGTGGAGAGAGAAAGAAGAGGACGAGAGGGAGAAGGGAGCAATCGTGAGGTTTCTATATCAGAATCGAATTTCTGTGGGTTTGGTGGCTTTGGTATGGCGGGGCGAGAAAGGAGAGCTATGAATCAGAATCGATTTTGGGAACCGCCATTGAAGGGGCAGAGCTCTGAGCTCTGGTTTTGTGAGATCTGGAAAATTCTAATAGTCGGAGTAAACAAAGCATCTTATGACGAAGCCTTCGCAAATCCAGTTCCTTCTGTATAAATTTCCTTATTGACGAGCGTATTTCTTCCTGAGTTCATCGCCGTCTGTTCGCACAGGGAACGCCATTTGGTGCTGGTGGTGAATGGTTATCCGATTGTAAGTTCTTGTGCCAGTGGTGATGGTAAGTCGTTGTCCAGACCTTGTTTTCATCTGAGATTTGTTTGAGTTTTTCAGATTTGGTTACGGCCGGGAATTAAATGCGAAGAGGTGGACTTCCGTTCATCCCGAAGGAATCGATGGCGGAGAAGACGAGGAATGGAAGATGAAAAGATGACTTTTCATTTTTTGTTTTCTTTCAATATAATTTCAATAATATGTTAAAAAAATAATTTCAATAATAATAAAGTTCCAATTCCATCTGTCATTAGCTTTGACAAAATAGTGCCACATCATCAAACAGTGTCAGTCTATTCGACATCAGTAACGTTGCCGTTAAGTTTTTGGACGGAATGGCTATATTTGTGTATTTTTTAAAACTTGGCTATATTTGTCACAAAGTGTAAAGTTATGGCTACACATATGTATTTTGCCATATATATTTGTTTATAACTAGCTACCTTACGTGGATGAATAAGCACAGTACTTTTAATCTAACCTGATTCTAGTAGTGTAGGTTGAAATGGAAAACTGTGGATTTTCCCCAAAATACATAACTTGTTAAAAAAAATCACCATATGTAAAATTACACTAAAAATTCCAACATACAAAATTTGGACTAGATCGCTGCTCACTTAAGCAATTTAGGTATGCAGAGACAACTGCATCGATCGGTACAAATCGTCACAGCCTCCAACGAACAGTATTCATTGCTTGTTAAAGTACGTAGATGGGAAGGAACTAAAATCGCAACAGTATATTGCAATTTACGTTATTTGCCGCTGAAAAGAGCAATCGTCGTGCTGAATTCAAGCGATGCAGGTAAATCGCTCGTATGAAGCAATTTTATGTGCGGACTGCTTTCCACCGACATGCTTCAGGATAGGGTTCAATGCGTGATATTTTTGTCTGGACAAATTGCGTAATCATGAAGCGATTTGGAACAAGTTAATCTTTAGGTGTAAATAGATTTCCTCTAACTAAATTTTATCACCTTACATTCCCTCTAAAACTGCATCTTTCTCCGTCTAATTGATTCTAATTCATAGAGAATGACTTGATTTGCAATTTGAAATGGAATTATCATATCAATGCTCACTCATAGTAACACAATAGTCACAAAGTTGGTTTCTTCCACTAACTAAGAACAAAGCAAAGAAGAAGAAAAAAGAGCGACCAACCACATCACTTTGTCCACAAATTTGGGACAAAATTTATAGAATTATTCCATTTGTATTGAGCTAGAATTTATAAAATGAGATTATGCCAGAAAAAGGATCGAATTGATTAATACTTAGTAATAACCTTATAAATCTATCATAAATCATACAAATTATTCGTGATTTGTTGCTAAATAATCATCTTTACATTAGTAAGGTCAAGGAATTCTTATGCACAAATAGCACAAAAAAAGTGCAAATCCTCCCAATCTACTTCCCAACAACCACTTAATCATCATCTATGCATTCTTTTAATCATCCTTTTGTCCTCTCCTTCTTGTCTTGACCTAACATTAACAAAAGATAGTGTTGGTAGTCTATAGTCCACTCAACAAGCAAAGGGAATAACATAGATATGCTAGCTAGAATCATAATTTTCACCCCTTTTTTTCATTCCATTTCTTTGGGAGCCGTTCAATTTAACATTAAATAATTAGCCACCTGAGGCTGTCCAAAATGGCCTTTAGCAAATGAGTACAAATTAGCCCAAAAACCCCCATTTAATTATTTAATAATAGAACCACTAATCTATCTCAATAAATAAATAAATAAATAAATAAATAAAAGCTTATTCCCTCTAGTTAGTGGGCGTCGCATCTTTCTGGCCCAACAATTCGGCTCTGGGAAACAAAAGCCCAGCCCAATTAATTTGAGTCGGTAGCGGCTTTCCGCTAAAGAAAGAAAAAATTAATGGATTTTCAAGGGAATTGAACCCGACGTGAATCGAACACGCAACCTTCTGATCTGGAGTCAGACGCGCTACCATTGCGCCACGGATCCACTTATTGGTTAATCTTGGGTAATGTTTTAGTTTACTTTCTATAATAAGAACTAAAAAGCGTTGTCCAGTTTTGGCAATCTAGTTATCCTGCTCATAGCATATAGTGTGAGTATATACTCACAGGGCCGGATGGCCACCCACGTCGCCGAGCCGAGATCAGACGGTGGAGGAAGGTTGGCGCCAGCTTGTGAGGGGAGGAGAGCCGAGTCCATCGGCTGGACAAAGCCCAGACACTCTAAGACAAAAAAAGTGGGGTCCACTTGGTCCACAAATTCAAAAAACACAATTGATTTTATCTACTCAAATCCCTCCCTCCTCTCTTTGATATTTCTCTGTCCGTTCATTTTCACTCTCTCTCCAAAATTAAAAAACACTTTCTCTCCCCTTCCTCCCCCGAAAACACTTTCTCTCCCCTTCCTTTCCCAATACCGACGACGGCGACGACGACATTCAAGGCATCGGCGACTGTGGCTTTCACGGCAGCGGCGACAACGACTTTCAAGGCTGCAACGATGACGATTTTGACGGCACCACTGTGGTGAAGGCGGATTCGACTATCGTAGCAGTCGCTGAACAAAGAAAAAGAAGGCGACTGACGCCGTTGAGGTAGATGTCTTCTCCTTCCCCTTCTCCTTCCGTTGGATTGCATATATTTGATCGTGGATTTCATGGATTCGACTAGATCTGGGTTTTTCTTTTACTTCAATTTTTTTAATGGGTTTTTATGGATTTTTTCCTGATTTCATGGAAACATCTGGATCTGGATTTTTTTGCTTCGATTTTTTAATGGGTTTTTATGGATTTTATGGATTTGTTTTCTAATTTCATGGAAACCACTGGATCTGGATTCTTTCTTTTGCTTAGTTATTTTGGATGAGTTTCTGGATTTGTTTTCTGTGGCATGGGATGCTAGGTTTTTTGTGGATTTGGGATATTAGTATAAACTCGACTGGATAGTTTTCTGTTGTATTTGGATGTCAATTCATTGATATTAGTTTGATGAGTAGTGATATTAGTTGTATACTTTCATGGATATTGTTTTGATGTATTTGGATATCACCTCATTGATATTAGTTGTCATCTTTAAGGATATCAGTTGTATGATAGACTGAGTTTTTGTTTGACGAATTTGGATATGACTTCATTGATATTACTTCTGAATGTTATGGATATAGTTAATGTGAAGTCCAGATATTAGTTAGCTTATGTCAGGATATTTTCTGTGCAGGAAAATCAAAATGACAAGAACTAAAGGAACTGCAAAGAGGTAGCGAGTAGAAGGCGAATCCTCAAGACCTAACCGTGGCAAACAGCCACAGGAAAATGAGTCAGAGGAATATGAGGACCAAGAAATTGAATAACATTTTTTTTAATAATGGATGGTTGTTCTTTATGTTCTAGATTGTAGTTCTTTTGATGATGGATATTGTAATGAAAGCACAGGTTAAGTAGATAGTAGTCAGGACTGTATGGATAATAGTAGCTTCATGCACAGATATTACTATGGGCTTTCTGAATAATAGTTGTTGAATGACAAGATACTAGTCTGGTATATAGGGATAATAGTTGCTACATGAGCATATAATACTTCGATATATCAGGATAATATTTCCTTCATTAATAGATATTGCTTTGGGCTTTCTGGATTGGAATGACATTAATACTAGTTGTATCGCGGTTTGTCGAAAAACGATTTTGTTTTCTATGGATTTGTTTAAACTCAATATCAACACAAACAAACATAGATAAACATTCACACAAAACAAATATCCAAACCACTTACACTAATATAAGTTCAGCATAACAAATATCCACACCACCCAGACTAATATCACACCGTCTAATATCAATATCCAGTCAGTCCATAATTAATATACTCAACATCATAGACTAATACCACTACATCAAACCAACTCTCACTCTAAACCCTAAAAAATATTCACACCATCCAAACTAATATCGCACCGTCTCAAACCAATATCCAGTCATTAAAAATGTAATATCTCGCTATCACAGTCAAATATCCACAATACACATACTGATATCTGACCGTCGCAAACTAATATCTCACTACACAGACAAAATATCGAACCACCATACATTGTCTTCTAAACCACCAACCCTAAACTCTAAACCCTAAGTAGGGAAACTGAATGTAGTTGTAATTAGTTGGGGGGTTTTTTAATTATTTTGGTGAAAAATAAACATTAGCTTTGTGATGTAAAAAATATAATCAGAAGGTCTAATAGGAACAACCATGCAGACTAATATCCAAATAAAGGAAACAAAAAATATAATCACGCAAAACTAATATTTTGTTACATAACGGGCAAAAACTAATATCCGTCCTCTATCGAACAAATACCCATTCACCCCAAAACAAACATATGTCCTTTATCGAGCAAATATCGGTGGCGCCCAGACTAACATCCATCCATTCCAGATATAATATCCATTCTTGGGCGAACAAATATCATTGACACCCTGACTAATATCTAACCACTTAAATTAATATCTGAAATCATAAACGGACTAATATCAGACCTACCATGACAAAAAAAAACTTCATTTTCAGATGGTTTCCTCGGTGTTATCTTCATCCTCAGACAAACACCCATATCGCCCATACAAATACCCATTCACCCCAAAACAAATATACGTCCTTTATCGAACAAATATTCGTGGCTCCCAGACTAACATCCATCCACACTAAAACTAATATCCACTTTTTAACGAACAAATATCCTTAACAACCTAACTAATATCCAATCACACAAAATAATATATGAAATCACAAACGAACTAATATAAAGGTCTGGAAGACACTCACACTCATACTACTATTGATTCATTGGCCTTCGGCCAATGGGCCCTCGGCGGGCAGCCCTAACTAAGGTTGCAAGCCTTATGTGTTAGGACTTGATAGTGTGTTTAGTTTTGATGGAAGACACAATTAAATACTCAAGATCTCTCCCATGTGAAAATTTATCAAAAGCAACAAAAGTAGCAGATTGTGGGCCATGCTTTTCTCTCTCTTTTGTCAACTCTGACGGATATTAGTTCGTGCACTTTTGGATATTTATTTGTCTCGGTTGGATACAAGTTATTTCAGCGGCTCCCTCTCTCAATCCCGCCCAAATTAAAGGTGGACCCAAGCCACCTTTTTCAGCTTGATCGGCTGGGCCGGCTTGTGCAAAAAACCCTATAAATAGCTCACTTAAATGAGCCATGGCTGGGCTGACCTCCTCACCCTTAGATTAGAACTGGGCCTATGTAGACAAATTTGGGCCTTGTGAGTATCTACTCACAAAAAACCTTGTGAGCAGATTAACTTTTGCGAGTTTTGGTGGATGAAGAACTGAAATAACACAGCTGAATTCCTTACTCGTCTTCCTCCGCGACGGCAATCCATTTCCTAGACCCTAATCCCCCATTTTCGTCTTCCGTATATGGAGCTCTGAATCCGCCATAAGAGTGACTGATTATCGTGCTCCCCTAAATCGCCGCTCTTCTATCCTTCAGTATCAGTGCCAGCATGGAAATGGCGGCTCTCCATTTGCCTTCGTTTTCGATTCAGGTACACTTCCTGCAAATCCACCCCTCTCTTTTGATTCTCGTTGTTCTTAAATGCCTTCGCTCATCTGTAGCCATCTCCGACATTCGCAAAGCACTGTGTATCTCCCCACGCAACGCAGCTCAGGGCCGGATTCGTGATTTTCCAATGTCCGTCGAGGCGAAATCCTCCGAAATCTGGTTCCCGGATGATTGGATTCCGATTACTGAAAGCAGTGAGCGATTCAGTTAGCTCGGCTGAAGGAGCAGCAGCTGATTCTCAAGACGAGGAGGTTGTTACTAGTGACAGCGCTGACGATTTCCCGGCTGATTCTGAGGACGAGAAGGTTGTTGTGACTAGCGATAGCTCTAACGATTTCCCGGCTGATTCTGAGGATGAGAAGGTTGTTGCTACTATCGACAGCGCTAACGATTCGCCGGATTCCAAAACCCTTGTCGTCGTCGCCAAATTGCAGGCGGCAATTTCCCCTCTTTCTCCATTCATCTCTTCGGTAAACATTTCTACTGTCTATCCTCACAATGCAGATTTCTTATTCAGGCAACTTTCCTTACAATTGCTTTGTGGGTTGTCTCAGATGAAAACATATGCTGGATGTAATAGCAAAGCAATCTGGTTATCCACTGCTACTGCAATTTTCTTGTTCATCGCTGTGAGAGTCTATGTTGGGATGACCCAAAAATCAAAGCACAATCGTCCAGGAACTGTGGCTGATCTCGTCAGACGTGGGCAGCTGAGGTCTGATAGAAGAGGCATGTATGGTTTCAACCCCATTTCCCCCATTAATACTGACCCTTAATTTTGATTCCTTATCCAATTCGTAAGGTGAAGGAAGATTCTAATTTTTTTTTTTTTACCATTTACAGCACAAGGCATCTCCAGTCTGAAGTATGAAGACCCATTCAACAATCCGTATGTGAAACTCGGCAAGAGCAACTCGACTGTGGAGATGTGTGGCAAGGTTTATAAGCTGTCCCCAGTTACACTCACCAAGGAAGAGCAAGCTATCCATCAGAGGAGGAGGTCGAGAGCTTATCAGTGGAAGAGACCGACGATGTTCCTCAAAGAAGGCGATTCGATACCACCTGATGTTGATCCCGAGTCAGTTAGATGGATCCCTGCAAACCATCCTTTTGCGACTACTTCCAGTGATATCGATGAAAGCTTAGCTCAAACTAATGTGTATCAAAAGCACGGTGTCCCATTTCGTATTCAGGCTGAGCATGAGGCACTACAGCGGAAACTCGAAGGATTGCAACAGGTAACACATGGGTTATTGATTGATGACTGGTTGAGTGGTTGGTAGGGATTTTGTCGAGTTCGTTTCTTAGATAAACTCTCGAGTGTTTTTCCTTCTGCAGGATCAAAAGCTCAATAAGTTCTTCATTGACAGTGACAACGCTAAAGCGTACGAGAGATCATTGAAGTTGCATCCCAAGTCTAATGAAGCCATGGATCAGAATCCCTCGGCGAATCAAGATGGGAACTCGAGTCCCTCCAGCTCTAACAGCTTGTCGAGTTCCTTCAACAGCACTGCACCCTCTGATGAACTGCAGAAACCATAAGTAGCTTTTGCCATTTTGTTTGTTTGCAACCCACTTTCCACCTTGGTTGCTATATGAAGCAGAAGTGTAATCCTATCAAGGGTGTATCTCACTTTTATATGCGACTTCAGCTTCGCTACTTTGCTCAGTTGTACAGCGGTGAGAAATGTAAATTTGAAAACCCAGTGATTTGTTTTTGCTTGTTGCAATTTGAAGTTGTGGGAGAATAATCTTCAGTATTGTGGAACCAGCAAAGGCTCTCTGTCAATGATACAACGTCACCTCAATCGATTAATCAGGCTCTATTAACTTTCACCTATACTACTACCTTCTGCCTGAGATATCAATCAGAAGCATGGCGATGGCATTGCATGGAAGCATCAGCAGAGTCGTGAAGGTGATGAGGAGCGATGCAGATTCCGAACTGATTCCCAAGTTTGAAAGAAGAACTTCTACTCCTGCTTCTTCAGGGATTTGGGGGTATAGTAAAGAACTCCATTTATACCAGAAAACTGCAAAAAAAGAACACACACAATTCAGCCAAAGAAACATCAAAAGGAGCTTGAAAACACATCAATCAATACCCGCTGAATGATCTGAATCCCCATGCCGACTAACAGTGCAGTCTTGACTCTTGACCCCCTGGTCGAGCAAATCAGCCCAAACCGGTCCTTTACCAGCAGTCTCACAAGGATGAACCATGGCCGGGACCAACCGGATGCTGCTGATGGAGGTACACTCTTTTAAACCCTTATTTCTTCCTAAACTGTACAAGGTTCTTCCAAAATATACGGCTTTTCGGGTGTAGATGAGTACCTATATATCGTAAAATGAAGTGAGTACTCCATGAGTGGATACATAAGAATCAAAATCTGTCGAATTGTTGGGTGTCTCTGGGTTTACCATTGGTCCAACCCACTAATCTAGTATTTGAAAAATAGTATCATAATAGCGATTCGTCCGAAAAAACGTTCTATCGGATCCCGTTGATGCGTTGGTGAGGGACCTTATGGACGAGGAGTTGGAAAGGTGGGATGAAACAGTTTTAGAGAGCTGCTTTACCACAGAAATGGTAAACGCCATCCGTCAGATTCCTTTTCGCGACCCTATGGAAGCTGATAAGATGATTTGGGCGTCGAGTAGGGATGGAAATTATACAGCTAGGGAAGGATACAGAAGGTGGTGAGCGGAGTTTTGTACTTAGCATGGGATTACGCCGAGGGGGGACCCTACGCTATGGAAGTGTCTGTGGGCACTAAATATCCCGCCGAAGGCGAGAATTTTCTTGTGGCGTTTCGTGTAGGAGACCTTGGCGACGGGGGAACGAGTAAGTCAACGGAGCCAACGTAGGAGTGATATTTGCCCCTTTTGCAACCAAGAGGAAACACAAGTACACTTGTTTAGTGAATGCTCGTGGACATCCAGATTGTGGCGAGTCTCTCAAGTCCGCCACTGTTTTGAGTTGAGGGGACAATCAACATGTATGGAATGGTTCAAGAAGGTAGTGGCCACAGTTTCGCCTAGTGATATTGAGGATTGGAGTTGGTCTTGTGGTCGTTATGGAAAGAAAGGAACGCACATTTATTTAATGATGCTAAGATGGACGAGGCTTACATTATTCCTCGAGCCATCTCTTTTCTTGACGAGTACAGACAGCATCAAGCGCGCGAGGTGGGTACAGGTGGGACGCCAGCTGTGAAGAAGTGGACAAAGTCTCCTGCAGGTAGGGCTGCAAATGAGCCGAGCTGCTCGCGAGTGGCTCGACGTTCGACTCGAGAAAAGCTCGTTCGAAACTCGACTCGTTAATAAACGAGCCGAACACGAGCTCACCTTTGTTCAGCTAGCGAGCTAGCTCGACTCGGTGGCTTGTTGAGCTAAACTCATGAGCTGGCTCGTTTAGAGCTCATGATATGTCTTGACATGTGGCTAGAGAGCCAACTCGATTACCAACTTATGGACGAATCAATCTATATCTTATGATTTTAATTCATATGGTTGTTAAATTATCTATCTCACCATATATAAGTTTAACACGTTGAGTTTGTGAGCAAATATATCTTATTTTCTACTTTAAAAAGAAATTATGCATCATAAATTGCTTCGATACTATGAAATAACATGATTTGGAGTTGTTAAAATTTATTAACTAAATGATATATGATACCAACAAAGTATAATATGATATTAGCTAACAAAATAAATCATATGTATTATGATATACAAAATGAAGTATCAAATAAAAGTTAAGATTTTAATAACAAGCTAGCTCGAGCTCGACTCGACTCGTTAATAAATTAGCTGAGCCGAGCTCAAGCTGGGGTAAAACTCGACTCGGCTCATTTGCAGCCCTACCTGCAGGGAGAGTAAAAGTTAATACAAATGCGGGTATTGGTGAGGATGGTCTTGGTATGGGAGTTATAGTTCGTGACTATGAAGGAAGATTCATCCTAGCTGCCGCTAAGAGGGTGAAAGGAAGCTTTGATCCAGCTTGTGGGGAAGCAATGGTGGTGGAACTGGGACTGTTTTTGGCCAAGCAGCATGAGCTGGGGGATGTAGTAGTGGAGACTGACTGTTCTACGGTTGTGAAGTGTGTTCGGGAACCATTGCAGGACCAGACGGAGTTGGGGGTGATTTGCAGAAATATAAACAGGGAACTTGGATTGGTCGGAGATGGGAGCATTCAACATGTTAGTCGGGATGCGAATGAAGCTACAGACATTATGGTGCATGTAGAGACATGGTGGGATGAAATGGAGGTTTGGTTAGATTGACCCCCGATATGTCTGCTTAACCACTTATTTATGATAATGTAACTGTAAATGCTTCATCTTCGAAATAAAGCTAATCACAGGATTCTATATAAAAAAAAATTGAATCGCGATTTCGACACAAAATCTAAATATAATCTAATCTAAACAAATACTATAAAGTTTCTCTTTAAAAACCCCTTCAATACCAAGTTTTATGCTCTCTGCGCATAGGGCGGAGGGACCTTTTGGTCCAAACAAAATATTAATTTACATGGACCAAGGAGAGCAACGGAGGGCATTTTTGTGGGCCCAATTCTTAATATTTTAGTTAAAAAACAATTAATTTACATGGTAATGGAGACTCGGAGAGCAAAAATGGGAGGATGGATGATATTTCTGTGGACTCAGCTGCTTAATTTTTTTTTATTTACATGGGCCATTTATATTTCCACATGAGAGCAGGAGAATGCTCTAATTTTTTTATAAAAAAAATTTTACAATAGCTTTTAAGTGGTGGATTTCAATTGGGTAGAGCTTAAGCCTGAAGATAAACATGGGGGAAAAAAAAGTAGCCAATTTCAGCTTAAAAACAAAAAACATGAATCCGCCGCAATAAAGGAAATAAGCATGATTAAAAAAATGCATGGAAATAAGTATATGGCATCCTTTCTAATAAAGTTAACTTATTAGGGTGTGCCTATGGTGACATGCATGTCATGATGACTTGCACTTTCCGGTCGACCTCATTTAGAATTCGGTCGACCTCATATAGGATCTGATCGACCTCATTTAGGATTCGGTCGACCTAATCTGTTGTTTCAGTGTAAAAACAGTTCATGGTGCCTACTTTGGATATACATATCATACAATTGGCTAGATGGAAATTGAAGACTAATGACTTGTTTTGAAGCTGGAGTGTCCCTCTACATATTGAAGTGATTGAGAGCTCGATAGGAAGTCCAGAAGACCATTTTTGAACCATCAAAAGGCTATGCCAAAACTGGGAAACTGCCAGGAAATGGCTAAGTCTGTAAACGTGTTTGTGAAGACTATTTTGGAACTCAATTCGAGAAGCATGAATGCGAGTCGAGTCCAGGAGCCTCTACCACGTTAAATTAGGTATGTTTTTATACAAATTCAAGGCATTGGATGAAAGATTGGATATCTGTAACACTTCAAACAAAAGGGTCGAAGTTTCTACGAAGGCTGTTTTTCTGGCAGACTTCGAGCACAAGCAAGCTGCCAGAAATACATCCTTCGTAGCAAATTCGAGCCTTTTGTTTGAATCCTTAAAGATATTCAATCTTTCATCCAATGCCTTGCCTTTGTATAAAAACATACATAATTTAACGTGGTAGAGGCCCCTGGACTTGACTCGCATCCATGCTTCTCAAATTGAGCTACAAAGTAGGCTTGACAAACACGTTGCCAGACTTAGCCATTTTCAGGCAGTTTCCCAGTTTTGGCATAGCCTTTTGGTCAGGTTCAAAAATGGTCTTCTGGACTTTCTATTGAGCTCCCAAGTACTTTAATGTGTAGAGGGACACTTCAGCTTCAAAACAAGCCTTTAATCTCCAATTTTCATCTAGCCAATTGTAAGATATGAATCTCCAAAGTAGACACCATGAAACTGTTTTTAGGGCCCGCCCGTTAGGCGGATATGTTTTTTACTTTTTTTATACAACACCTATCGTTGGATGGATAGCAAGATACATTATGTAGATGTCATAAACAAAAATAGTAATGGTTCAAAGCAAGTTACGGAATACAAAATGAATATATTATTATAGAGTTGTTCAATATTCACTGATAGTCTGATACTGTGATATAAAGATGAAAATAAATAATTAAATCCATGTCAGAGAGTCGACTCCTAATTAAAAAATTGTATAAATCCAAACAAAAACAAGGATCTCCACCATTAATATTATCTTCCTTCTTGTCAACAATGTCATTAAGTCCATTATTAAATCCACTACTTTTAACATTATAGACGGTTCCTTTTAAAAAGAAATATTAACAGACTCTTTCTTCTTGTCCCGCATTTCAATGAAAACATCAATGAAAACAAAATTACTTGTGGGAGTCTTTTCTACTTTTGGTAGATAGGTTTGGCATCGAGCATAGCGCTACCATTTCGCAACTTTGACAACTTTATAGTTGAAGGAATACAAATTGTTATAAGTATTAGAGAATGAGTTAGCATTTTAATATTAATGAGTTGCTAGATATAAATTGATGTTTACCTCCTCTTTATTCTCCATTTTCAATTCGTCGAGCTCTTGTAATATTTTGGTGGGAATTGAGTTTCATTTTCACTCTCCCTGGAGGATGTGATACATCCCATAACTTTTATCACAAAAACAATACTTGTGAAATCAAAAATTTGATATTCTGAAACTTGCGCCAATATTTGCGAGAATGACACTTATTATTTCACAATGAAGGAACATTCACAACTATTTTCTTGTACCCGAATTGTATATTGGGCCCGAATTAAAAATTCAAATAATGCATGCAATTTTAAAATGTAAGTTCAAGAATCATAAACTCGTAAAACTTTAGTTGGACCTCTTTATGATTCCCTTTTCTTATATAAATTACAGATTTTCTTCTTACTGATTTTGTCAATAAATTCTTCTTAACTTTGACTTATGTGAATCAATTTATGAAAATGTAAGAGGGCAAACATTAATTTCATGATGTCAAATAGTCATAATAGTACTGGAGTGATTATAAACCGTTAAGAGTTGTCATTGAAGGTCATACCATTAGAAAATTTATTTTACGCTTCAAATATACAATGATTATAGCCTACGGCACTTTCTAGTGATACAAAAAGAACTCTCCTATCTTGCTAACTCACACAGTGTACGAATACATATTAAATTGTAAAATGTACATGACATAATTTGACGTTGATACATATCAAACACTACACTTACATTAAAGGTTTGAAGATGGAATTGGTTCATTGTTTTTCTCATTAGATGATTCTCTAAGGAGAATATTTCTTCAACGCATAAAACCACCTATTGATTGGGACAATTTTTTAGTATTTAAAATCAACTTATCCTCATACCTATTTACTTGTTTTAAAATGGTTTGTTTTATATTTAAACCATAAATTTATAATCCATGAAGCAAACAATCTCTTGATCGCTCAATAATTTTTTTATTCGGATTCAAAGAACTTGAAACATCATCGATAATTCTCATTTTGACATAGTCATTTAGTGTACAATTCAGTTTCCTTGAATGTAATATTTTGTATAAACCTGGACTAAATAGAGATTGTCTTGCTAATATATTAACCTTAATTAATTTCATTAACTTCAATACTTACCTGATTAATTATTCTAGCCCCATAGGCCATAATACAAAACTATGTGGTAAGGAGAATAAAGAATGCGGCCAGTAGCCCAGTTACATGTTTAAGATACAATCGTCCATTCATTTCATATTTAATTGGATGTACATATTTGGATTTTGGGCCCATTGCTTCCAAGGCAAGTGTTTCGTTAATGGTGTCCAAGAAGCCTCCTGAAATTTGGAAGAAAATGACCAAGACATCCTTCCGTACTTTGCGCAGCGGCCAAGGAAAAAGGGAATGGGATAGGAGATGGAGGAGAATCTCCTTATATGTGTTGTTCAGCCTTCGTAGCAACTTCGAGCCTTTTGTTTGAATCCTTAAAGATATTCAATCTTTCATCCAATGTCTTGCCTTTGTATAAAAACATACGTAATTTAACGTGGTAGAGGCCCCTGGACTTGACTCGCATCCATGCTTCTCAAATTGAGCTACAAAGTAGGCTTGACAAACACGTTGCCAGACTTAGCCATTTTCAGGCAGTTTCCCAGTTTTGGCATAGCCTTTTGGTCAGGTTCAAAAATGGTCTTCTGGACTTTCTATTGAGCTCCCAAGTACTTTAATGTGTAGAGGGACACTTCAGCTTCAAAACAAGCCTTTAATCTCCAATTTTCATCTAGCCAATTGCAAGATATGAATCTCCAAAGTAGACACCATGAAACTGTTTTTACACTGAAACAATAGATTAAGTCAATCTAATCCTATATGAGGTCGACCGAAAAGTGCATGTCACCGTGACATGCATGTCACCGTAGCAAAGTCCAACTTATTAATATTTGTATATTGGTAGATCAAAAAAATTACACCCTGGTTTACAACCAAAACAAAATTCAAAGAAACAATATGATGTCAGGTACAAAGTTAGGTGTGTGTTTAATGTTGATGATTTTTTACACATTTTTATTTGCACCAAGTGGATAAGATTACTACCAAAATTACAATTTTTTAGATTTCATAAATATAGTATAACTTTATTATTTCGGTATATTAATTTTTTCCAATTTATTAATTCATTATTTGAATATTTTGAGTTTTATTATGGATTTATTATTTTGTTTAGAGCTATCAAGTTTGTTTAAATATATCAACAAATCTGAAAATAGGGTACAATCTATTGAATTCCTTCATTAAATCTTCTGTATTATAATATAACTCCTGAGCGATCATTCGATTTCAAGAATTTATTCGCATAGCTCCATATGGAATGACAAAACTTGGAAAATTAGCTAAAGACTTGCAATACTTTTGCAATAATTTATCTATCTCCACCGAACATATTTTTTTAATCTCATTAGTAAATAGATGCAAAATGGGTAAATTTAAATCCCTTCTTCGACTGAACATGATATCATCACTCAATAGGTCCCAGTTTTTTCCATAAAGATTGCACATCGGGCACTTGACAGTGAATAATAATTATGCCAAACAAATTTCTTATTTTATATCGAGAATCCTAAAATGTAACTTCTTTCAAGTCGTCCCTCCACTCATCATCAACATCTACCAATATCCAAAGAGCAAAACATGCTTTTTGGAAGGAAGCATGAAAAACACCATTAACTATTCTAATTTCTTCATGAGAACAACTGCCTATAACTAAATGCAGCAATATGAGAAGATAAAATATTTCTTTGCCAAATGGAGGCAATAGAGGTGATTATATATGCCAAAAATTTTAATTTAGAAAGAGTTAATCTATGTCCCTCATTTAATTACACCCTTCCTACATTAACATTGTGGTAATTACATATTTTGAAAGTTACACTGATGTCCATTGTGAAACTAAAATTATTGTTTGGCTGCTGTTTTAATGCAAGGTTAGTCAATATGCAATCCCAATTGATCTCCGATCTAACAACTCAAAATAACAATTGGACTATTAAATGTCGAGTTTCAAGAAAAGGGTTGGCAATCAGTCCCAACACAGATGCTATTCTTCGTCTCGATATGATAGTTATTGACTCAAAGGTAAACTAACTAAAACCACACAAACTCATCTCTATGGCTAAAGTTTCAACAATGTATCAATATGCCTATTTTACTTCTACAAGGTAATGATATTTGGGTGTAAATTCCCAAAGGCCATATCAAGGACTTTTGGTCGTTGTTTCGTGACCAAAGAATCTACACTATGAAAAACTTTAAGGTCAATAATACAACGGGAGATTACTAGCCAATTACAAACAAATTGGTCATCAAGTTTCGTCCAAACATCGAGGCCGAAATATTTGACAATATTCTAGCTATGCCAACTTACAAGTTCTATTCATCAAACATGATGGGATTGAAAAAACTGCACACATAAGAAATTCCTTTACGGTTAAAATTACTATTGTCAATTCAAAATTATTTCAATTTTACGCGTGTACAACTACAAATTTCAGCTTTTTAAAAATTTCATTCCATAAATGTTGTTGGCCAACTTATTAAGTAGTCTAATTTACTAACAAATACTAGACTCACTTGAAAAGTTAATCGCAAAGAGCTCCAACTAAAACTTCTCGTGTATTTAATTGTTGGCCTTTTGTTTAAAATAGCATGCATTGTTTTACATCTAATAGCAAATTTAATATACAATTTGGGTACAAGGGATTAGTTGTCAAGGTAACTCTCTTTGGTATGATAGTTACCCAATTTGGGTATAGGGAACAGGGGATTAGTTGAAAAATAAATTAATACAAGCTTTGAAAATAAATTAATGACAATTAATTCAAAGATCATCAAATTTGCAGGCGAGAAGATCTTCTGCTCAAGTGGAGCAACCTTGCTGCTGGCAAATCCAAGAATTCTAGAACTCATTAGTTTTGGGTCAAGGTGAAACTAAGGACAATTTAATCTTCATATTTTTTTTTTATCTATTCTAAGTTTGAACTACAAAGAAAAAAAGAGATTAATTAATATTATTTTTGAGTGAATAAAGTGACGACGATGCACCAATATAATTCCTCCAATGAAAAGAACAAGAAAAATTCAATAGTCAATGCCAAGGCAAACACTAAATGAGCTCAATCTGTTAAAATGAAAGATGGAGAAGTGGCAATCGTCTGTTTTGATTTAACAAGCCATTAATTTTCAAATACTAATACTTTGTGTAATATGTAAGAAAATATGTATTCCGTCAAAAATGCAAAGTTGTCAAGGTTAAGAATGGATGATGTTATGTTGGATGCGAAATCTGTCCACTAATAATCGAAGAAGACTCCAAAAAAAAAAGACTCCAATGAGTACTTCTGTGAGAATTGTACACAGACATTAAAAACGACAATATCAAGGTAATGCTACACTTATTAATATGAAATTTGATTTGGTATAGTTCGATGATGAATATACATGCCAAGTGATTGAATATTTAATTTTCCAGAACATAATTTGTATTAAAATGTTAAATTATATATGGTTAGATTCCAAGAGATTGGCGTCTTAGATTAAAAAAATGGAAATGAGAATGAGGCTATGTTATCTTCTGCCCACCTACCGTACCTAATGAGACTATTTCCGTATTATTGATTGAATAATTATGAGATTTTTTATTTAACACCTAAAATTAGCGTGTACTTCAAAAAATTCAAAAAACATTATGATATAAACATCATTATACATGTTTAGGATCAACCTTTGAGTTGCGGACAAAACAGAGAGGCTTACTTTGTTGTTATGGATAGAGTGGGAGCTTGATTTTTTGGAATGTCGGTTGATAGGCTATTCCAAGACAATGATAGAATTAGAGGACCACCTGCTCATCTCCTACAAATTGAGGGAATGACGTTGCAGTACGACATCAAGCTCACATATTACAACATCGCTAATCCAACAAGTGAGTACACAATTATCAAGATAGGGAAGGACGAGGAGGAGCAGACCACCGACGATATTCCTGACTTGATTGAGGTCAATAATATTTGAATCAAAATGATGATCAATATTAATTACAAATTTGCGCTATTATCAATTGGATTTGGATTTTTTTACCATGCACATATCATACTTTATATTCTTTACTCTTAGTGATATCATGCAACTGTCAAATGAAGGGAGCTAAGGGTTTAATTAACAGAATTAGCTTGGATGAACGGAGTTGAGGGTTTAATTAATAAATTGGGATTTAGTTATTTAACAGTCATACCGAGCTTGCTGCAAAATGGAAGAACACATTTTATTTCTTTCACGGCTTGCTTGGAAATATGGAGGATCTGATATTTTTAATCTTCGTATTCGGTGTGAAACTTTGCTTCCTTTCCCAATAATTTGCAATCAATTATATCCGCCTACTATTTTATCTACAATATATATTGACAATCATGATTCAATGAAACCACACCATGTGTTATACTTTTTAATGTCAAATATCAAAATTCATAATGTTGATGCAAGATAACAAGAATGACACTGCCAATGGTGGAGGTAATGGATTCGGTGCTACAGATAATGATGATGTTCAAAAGAAGAAAGAAATTGATCATGAGGAAGATATAAAGACTGGTGATGGGGAGAAAGAACAAAACCTAAATATCGTTCGTAAATTGGACGATATAAATTCTACTCCGATGAAAAAGATGATTTATATTGAAAATATATTTTACCATCAAATGTTTGTGCTGAATGAAATGCAGGAAAACAAGGAAGAGATAACTGAAATGTAAGAGAAGAAGGAATTGTCAATTAATATTGGAGATAAATGTGTCGCTAATGGAGATGAAGACATTATTAAATGGTGACAATGAGTTTGATACTCATGCGAGAGGAAATGCAAAGAAGCGAAAAAGAAAACGTGCACTAATCTGCAAGGATAGGAGTTAGATTTTAATTGATCTTTAGGAGTCGGTTCCCTTGCATAGTTGCATGGGATTTCCTTTCATTTTTTGTAAAAATATTTTAGTCGATTAGTCATTAATATGTTGGAAAACAGTACAATGTTAATAATTTTGAATTGTTGAACTATTTTTAATAATTCGGATTCTCTTATTCTCCCAATCGATTCGAATGTTTAGAGTATTTGAAGAACATATAATTTCTTATACTAATGTGAAACTCGAATACAAGTTACTACGATTATTTACGTAATTGATAACTGAATCCGGCCAACTGGCCAGACCTGTGACTAGTAATATACTATTAACTTTTCCGGTAGGTTTTACAACGGTCTCATCAAATTTTGGGTCGAGTGGGTTGGTTCAAATCCACGGGACCGCCGGTTTCAAGCCCACAAGCCCAACAATGACATTCCGCTTCGGATTAAAGTGAATGGGCCGGGCCCCCAAAAAAAAAAAAACTGGCTCGTATCATTTCGACCATCATCACTTTCGTTCCCCACCGTCGATGGAAAACATGTGTTGTTTGGTCGGAATGATGCCATGATCTGCAGCCGCACGATCCCTCGCGAGCTTTCAGTTTACCGTAAGTGCTACTAGTACCAGATCTCATCCCCGCCCGCCCTCTCTCTCCTTCCTTCCCGTGATTGAGATTCGCAAATCGCAAGACGAAGAAGGATTGAAGGAATCGAGAAGAAACCCCAGAGCGCCGAGCTGCCGATTTTGACGAAGAAGAACCGAAGCAGGAAGCAGAGAAAACAGTGGTGAAAGAATGTCGCTCATGAGAGGAGAGCCTTTGTTGTCGAAGCTTTCTGCCCTCTCGCAGTACGTTGTTCTGCCGGGAGCCATGGTCGCAGCTCTCTTCTATTCGCCGCCGCGCTATGGCTCATCGTCTTCCTCCACCTCCGCTTCCAAGACCTCCGCCTCTTCCAAATGAGATCCTCATGGTATGGTAATTTTATCCCCTTCCCTTTGTTGCTTGTCGCCGCTTGATTCAGTTGTTCTTTCATGTCAGTATAGGGCATCTTGAACCCTTCGAATCCTCTAGTCCTGTTGGCTGAATTGAATTGGTATCAGCGTGCGGCTTGGTTTGGTTACTGGGATATTTAGTTGGAAATAATTGGTTGAGGAAATGGCTACTGGCATGTTTCATGGACGGATGAACAGAAATGGTGGTTCTACGTTGCTTTGACATTTAGGGATGATTCACTTTCTCTGAAAATTGAAGCCATTTGATCACTTCTCCCCACAATTCGTTGCAATGGATTCTTGTCTAGAGCTCTGAGTTAGATCACTCTACAGTCTACACTGGACTTGAATTGCTTTACAACTCATGTCGGGTTTGAAAGTCTGGGTGCGATATGATTCTGTTTTGGCCACCTTTGGTTGTTTGTCCATTATATTTGGACTGAACATTGTTAAGGCAGTTCCTCCAGGTGAATAGCATCTACCCGGATTTATAAGCGTAGCTGTTTCTTATGATGGGATTGAGTTTAAATTCTTTTCGCCATTATGTATTGTTCTTACAATTTCCTTTCTTTCCTGCCTTCCGCAACATGTCTATTCTGTGACTCTGATGATCAAGCTTGAATTAGGGACTTCTATACTAAGCCTGGCCTTCAATCCCGCATCTTGAATACCAAACTACAGTGATAAATTGTAGGATATAGGAAGTATCCTTGTTCGTTCTATTTTCACTTTGAAATGCAGAAGATTGTTCTACTGCAGCTGAGTAAAACTAGTAGAAAGCTCACGTCTTGAGAAATAAACAAATCAGAGATGCACAGTGCTATAAACATGGTCAGCTTAGTGCGTTGCTGACGGTAAATCATTTTTTTTCTTTTGCAGGCCGGTTCCACAGGCGTTTCCCTTGCAATTGAAAGGAAGAACAGCCTGTTTGATGGTAATTTGGGCATGGAATAAAAAGCTGTAAGGGGGTAATGTGACGCGATTGATTGTTGGATTTCTTTTGAGCCATTTTTATCTTGAATGAAATTTGTGCTGTTTGTGTTCTTATTCTCTTTTTTCCTGGATGTGGCCAAGAGTCTTTTTTTTTTAGATATGATTATTGTTAGCCATCCATGGGACGACGGTCTGTCAAATTGATCCATTCTTGTAGAGACTAGATGAATGAATGTCACTCAAGATGGGGTATCCCTCCTTGTGACCTTCATTGTCGGGTCCATCCATTCTTTCGTGACAACAGGTTCATCCATTCTAGTTAAATGAGCTGATGTAGTTAAATTAGCATCGTGCTTGAGTGCAGAGTGCTAGAGTCAATACAGTACAACATTGATTATATGTATAGATAGAACATGCTGATAATTTTACGAATAATTCCTTCCAGATCTGCTAGCTAGCTAGGGAGCAGGGTAGTTACTACTAATATAAGCCAAACTCTAGGTAGTTGGCCAGCTGCTGTGGCCGCCGGCCATTAGCGACGACCAAGAATCTCCTAGACATGATGATCGGGCGACCGTGGGAGCAGTTGCTCCATCTAACATCATCGCGTGGAAGCCCCCACCGGCGCCGGATGGCTTGTTGAAAGGGATAGACGGAACTGTAAGAGACTGAAAACCGAGAAATGAAAGAGCAGCTGATGATGGTGATGAGTAGTCAACGTTGGTGGCGGAGTCGTCGTCCTGAGTATACAAGCAGCTGGGGAAGGGATTTTGCTGCATTGTATAATCATTATTCATCGGTGCTGCTGCCCGCTGATGATCCTGAGTGCATCCCCAGTCGTGAAAGGTGGTGGCAGCAGGTGGAGGGAAGTGAAAATTGTCGTGAGATGATGACAACGACGGCCAGGGTTGATCATTAACGCCGGCGGCACCCAGCTCCGTCTTGCATTGTCTGAGGAAACCAGTGCTGTGATCATCATCAAAACCATGGTTGCTACTATTATTATTATTATTATCAGTGACGTTGATTGCATTGGTTAGTATGGTTTTGAGGTGGCCATGATCGGCGGCGGCGAGGAAATCAGGAGGTGGATTGGGGAAGTGATGAAGAGCCTTGAAGCAGCAGCTGGTTGATTGATGAGGCTGAGATAATTCCCACGACGGGGAGGAGGACGGTGGCGCGGCGGCTTCCGACAAGGCAGGCAATGCACCAGCCGGGTTGTTGTAGTTGTTCCCTGATGGTGAAGACAGAGAAGCAGAGGCTGCAGCTAGTTCCTGGAGGCCGTGGAGGAAGATTCCAGTCTTCTTCTCCACCGTCTTGTGAAATATCCTGCATATCACCCATTCCTCCTGCAAAATAGCATAACCATCCTTCAGATTCAAGTGACCATTCTGTGGGACTTGACTACACCCATTAGCAGGAAGGAAACATCACTTGTCCACATGGATGGTAAAAAAAAAAATCAAAACACGACAAAACTCTAGAGCATTAAAGTCAACCCACAAGACGACAAACACATTGATTGATGGATGGATGGGAAGGAGAAGACAAGAGAGGAGGGGAAAATTAAAAGGTAACTTGATTCTCACGGCACACGTGTGGTGTGGCAGGGTGATGGGGCAACAGTGATGAAGCTCAGCTAGGGAAATGCAAAAATGGAGAGAGAGATGGTGGTGCAGAAAAGAGCAGCAGACGACCTTGGAGGTGGAATGGTGGCGGTAGGAGAAATGGCCTTCGAGGCGGTACTCGTGCATGACCCATTTGGTCTTCTCGCCCTTGGGCGCCCTTCCCTTGTAGAACACCAGCGTCTTCTTCAAGCCCAGCAGCATGCTGTCCGGTCGGCCGGTGCTGTAGACTTCCCTGTCCTTGCCGGTGGCCTTCCAGTATCCGGCGCCGGTGGCCCGGTTTGTCCGCAGCCCCGTCGGGTACTTCCTGTCCCTCAAGCTGAAGAAGTACCACTCTTTCTCCCCCATCTTGGCCACGTCTGCAATTTACACATTAGATTTCCTTGGTCAGAAGATCTACCGAGCTTGTCTGAATTAAATGAAGGGGACTAGCTAGCTTAGCTATGGTAGTGTGTGTCTCACTCAACCATGTACGGGCATGACAGCGACTATATTTTTTCACGGTGGTTGGGGGGAAAACTATGCAGTACGTACATAAACGAAAAATAGAATGAACCCATATCATACGACCATCATTATTCATTATTATTATTATTGCTGATTGTATTAGCTAGGTGGTGAATGTATGGTCCTTGGTGGGAAAGAGAACAATAAATGTATGTGTCGTTCCTTGGTTCTGTCTTGGCCCATGTATGTATATTTTATACGTAACTTACTCGCAAGTTAAATAAATCACATAGCTTAGCGTACCGGGGAGGTCCCAGGGTTCGCAGCGGTTGAGGTCGATCTCTGCGATTTGGACGCCGCAGAAGGAGCCGTGGAAGACCTTGGAAGCGAGGTAGAAGGTGATGAGCTCCTCGTCCGTCGGGTGGAACCGGAACCCGGGAGGCAGGCCGTGCTCGTTGACTTCCTCCCCTCCAAGTAGTTCGCCGGCGGCGAGTTCGGACAGCGCCTCCGACTGCATCAGTTTTTGACGAAAGCAGCTGACTTTGCTAAGTGCTAACTAACTAACTAACTAACTCTGCTAGACTAGATCTCCCAAGAAAGAAGGACAGGAAGGAAGGAAGGAAAGTGGGGGAAAGGAAAGTAGGTTCAGGGAGATGATATCATGGTGGTGAGTGGAGTGGAGAGTGATGAAGCTAGCTCTCTAGGTTGGGGAATGCAATTTATAGAGGAAGAGAAAATATATAGCACTGAAACTCAACTAGTACGTATTATAAAATTAATATGGGCGGGGACAAAGATATGGAGGAGTGGGGATCCCATAAATTAATAAAATATCCACAAGTCACACGTATTTATTTATATTTGTTATGTTTTCACATTTTTTCAATCATTTATTTTTTGGTGATGGTTAATGTTCGATATATATATATAGAGAGAGAGTCGACCTTGATTTTGTGTAGCACAAGGATGATTACCATGGATTTCTTCATCTGCATTCTTCTTGTTATTCGATATATGCTTTCTTTGAAACTACGCATCTTATTATTGTGAATGTGACTATGGAGCGTATTGGCTAACTAGTTAGGATGACAACACATATATCTTTTGGTTGTTGAATTAGTATGACATGCATGCTGAACCTATTTCGTAGACTCCATTAATGAATAACACAAGTTAGGGTGAAAAAAACATACAAAGAATGAAAGTAAAATGGAAGGAAAGAGGCATTGAAATATCAAATACATCATGTGATGAAGTGATCACACAGACACAGTGTGGGAGGGAGAAAGGGAGAGAAAGAAAGAAAGTTTTTTTTTAAAAAAAAAAAAAAAGGTAAGAAAGAAGGGAACAGAGGATTGCACCTGAAAACCATTCCATTCCTAATCCGGTAACAAAGAAATGGCCAGACAGACACTAGCTAGCTTGCTCCAAAATCAAAATATATATGGAAAACTAATTCACTTTTATTTTCTCCCAAAATTGAGCTCTTTCTTACTTACTCTTAGCCAGCCTTTTGCATGGGAAACAGAGAGACAGAGAGAGAGGAGATGGCCGGGGTTGTAATTAATGCTGCTGCAGAGAAAGGAAGGGAGGTGAAATATAATATAAAATAAAATAAAAGGGATATATCATATATGGTTGCCGTGCGTGTGTGAGCATAATATACGTTTTAGGTCCTCCCTCTGCTGCCCTACCTATATTCACTCCTCCTCTCCTCTCCACTCCCTTCTACTTGTTCTATCTCCACCACCACGGCCTTTTCTCTTACATCACAAAATCTATCTAATGGCAATGCCCCCGAACCAGAAAATTGTGGGCAATGGGTGAGTATGGTTTTCTCACTATCCAACCCGAACCGGCCCAATTAAACCAAGGACCAGGATATCGTACTGGACCGGCCGGCCGGACCGGAAAAACCAGAAACCGGACCTGACCCGGCACAATAGGGGCTGTGTACCATCCAAGAGCCTGCCGGGCGGTTTTTACGGTTGGACCGCAATGGGCCGAAATTTCGGCCGGTTTTATTAAAACCGGCGGTCCCCTTAATTTAATCCAAACGGCGCCGTCTTTGACCAAGCTAAAAAAAAAAAAAAATTGGAAGAGAAGCAGAGACTACACTAAACCCTACCTTCGGCTGCTGAGCTCTTCCTTCTCTCTACACTCTCCTCTCGTCTCCCCCGCGCCGCTCTGCCTCTCAAACTAGCTTCCATTTTCTCACCACCGGCGACAGCGGCGTCCCCAGCCTAGCCCGTGAACAAAGATCTTGCGGTGAACAGGATCCTCATCGGCTATCCTCCGGATGCGATCCGCCACATCGCGGTGGATCTCCGCAGCATCGCGGAGCAAATTAGCGAGCTGATCCTTACTGAACGGTTCGAGAAGCTTCTCAATCGGCTCCTCGTCGTCGTCGTCATCCGGAGCCGACGCCGCCGCAGAAGAAGAACCGATATGCTTATCCCCTTCGTTCGCTTCTTCGCCGCCGTCCTCCTCCTCTTCCACTTCTTCTTCCTCTTCCTCCACCTCCTCCTCCACTTCTTCCACCTCCTCCTCCTCTTCTTTTACCTTAACCTTCTTCTCCTCTTCTTCTTGCAGCTTCTGCAGCTGCAGCTGTTGTTGCTGCTGCTGTTGTTTCTTGGGCGGCCACGACGATGCAGCGCCTTTCGAAGCGTCAAGCTTTCGCTTCTTCGCCATCGCAGCTTACAACAGGCGAACGGAAGAAGAAGAAGAAGAAGAAGAAGACAAGAGAATTAGGAAGAAGAGTGTCGGTAGCAAAATCTAGAGATTGAAATTCGGCGGCTAGGGTTTCAGATTTCGGGGATCTTGTTTCAATCGGATAGTTGATGCTAGATAGAGTTGGGTCTCTTATGGGAAGAGTGAATATGGATGGGTTTTGGGGTGAAATTAGTGGGGAAATTAGGCGGTATAATCCGGTATTATTCCGGTATTTTCCCGGTATGGTACCCTAATTTTGTCGGTACGGTTTTTTAACAGAAAAATAATTTTTTTAATCCAAAAACGGTATTTACCGGTAGGAAACGGTTGAACCATGGTTGTACCACGATTTACCATGCCAAAAACGATTCCGGTTTGATGTCCGGTACGGTTTCGTAATCCATGGATTAAACACATGCATATGTATTTTTGTCTAGAAATAATCCTTTTTTCGTAACATATTATGTAATAAGCATATAAATACAGTGTTTTCATGAGATTGTGTTGTTTTAGTTAATTTTATTCATTCTAGTGAATTATTGTCGTACTTTTTCCTCTTTCGTAATGTGAAATTACGTGGTAGTGTTAGCTAGCATATTGGTTGAAGTTATAAAGGGAAATTATTACCCATGGAGGATAATCGTGGATACCCGAAACCCGAACGGGTATGGGGCATGGTTTTGATTTCCTTGTCGTTTCTTACGTGCGCGTATATGGATATGGGTAAAACCCGAACTACTTTGGATAGGGTAACAGATATTCACTATCCGCCCCCAACCCGACCCGACATATTGCCATCCCTACCGTTTACATACATACTCGCCTTATAATTACCATACAGTATAGTATAGTATAGGTCCAACTGCTCTGGTTGCTTTTGAAATTTCCCTACCTGCTGCAGCTCCCTGACCTCTGCTCTGCTACCGGCCTCCCACATTAGGGTATATAAATGCTGCCTAGTAACCCATACCCAGTGCCACGTACTGACCACTCATCAACAAATGAAATCCAAGCAAAATGATATCCATTCCATTCCTTGTACTTAGTATTATATATAAGCTTGAAAGCTGAAGCTTTCTAGGGCGGGGATTTTGCTAGCTGGTAAATAAAGCACTCTTTTTGGAGGAGGGGGAGGGGAATTCCTTTCTTTCTATCTTGATTGTTGAGAAAAGCAAGCAAGAGCGCGCAGCAGGCTATGCATGCAATTGCATGATGCAGCTAGCGTCGTCACCCGAGACGAGAGAATCAGAATTCAGAAGCAACCGGCCGGGGGGGAAAAGAAAAGAAAAGTTGATTATTAGCTGCTCATCAATGGGGGTGGCGTGTATGTGTGTGCACGGTGCACCGCACGTGTGGGTGGCCGCTAAATTAAGTTAGTGGAGGGAAGGAACAAATTAAAGCGGGTAGTAAAGTAATATCTCACGTAATCATACAGAAACGAATGATGTCATGTTAATCCACTTTTGCTAGCTAACCCTAGCTAGGCTAGGCTAGCTAATAAGCTATACATAACGAATCAATTAGATTGGTTTCCTCAATACTGGATTTTGTGTCTCTCTCTGTCTCTTCAAATTGGCATGGATTTCAACCTTAATTAAACTTTATGCAGTTGAAAACAAATTTATATATGGTCATGAGTTATTACATAATAAGGTAGCTAGCTAGTTCCAATACTCTCTACAACTAAAACGTAATCTAAATATATAGGTTTAATCATTTTTATCTCAAATAACTATATATACAAACCATTTTATTACATAAAAATCAAATCAAATGATTACGAGCTCTTTAGAACATCTCCATCGGTCACTTTTTTGCAATTGCAAAGTGACGTGGAATGCTTATTTGGCATCGCAAATGTAATTGCATCACTGTAGGCCCCAATTGCAATTTTGCATATAATGCAAGTGGAAGTGAAAGCTAATATAGCTATAATTTTTTTTTCTTTGGTAGAAAGAGTGACGCAAATTGCGTCTATATCATATTAACTAAACGTTCATGGGATGTTCCCATTACATCATGACAAAGCCATTGAAATAAACCAGAATCTCGCACATTGAGATTATGTGTACCAAAATGGAAATCATGGTCGAGATTCGCCAAGTAGTCGGCTTCAAAATTGGCCTCTCTGTACACGTGATCAATCTTAACCTCCCATTTAAGGTTGAGGAGCTGTCTGAATTGGCAAGCAATGCTGCCATGTCTGTGATCTTCATTCTCTTTGTTTCTTATGACCTCAATTGCTGTAGTGGAGTCCATCTTGAGCTGAACCTTTCGATAGCCCCTGTTCCAAGCAATCTTTAGTCCCTCAACAACGCCTTTTAATTCTGCTGCAGTGATGGAGCATCTCCCAAGGTTGCAGGTGAACGCTTCCACACAGTGTCCCAGGTGATCCCTGAGAAGTCCTCCAACAGCTGCTGCTCCTATCTGTGTTAGGACAGATCCATCAGATTGCATTTGAATCCATCCCACTTCTGGAGGCTCCCAGCCAATGTGCAATGTGGTGGGAGACACATTCTGGAAGTTGGACGTCTTTCTGATGTCCTCCTTTGCTTGTTGGACAATTCTGAACCAGGCTTGGATTCTCACCACCAGGCCGTCTTTAAAGTAATTCTTCCCATCAATTGTCTCTTCGTTCCTTTGCTTCCATAAATGCCAGCAGACAATACCAAAATCCACTCCTGTTTCCTCCTGCTGTAAATTGACAAGCAACCATTCATGAAAGGGTAACCTGCAATTCTTCTCAGCAACTTTGTTATGCATTTTTCCCCAAATGCTCCTAGCTTTCTTGCAACTGCGAATAATATGTTCAGTAGTTTCCTCATGCTCCTTGCAATGCTGGCATGAGCTGTCCTGAGTAAGTTTCCTCCTGGCCCTTTCTTTGTTAGTGAAGATTCAATCGCGAAGGACTAGCCAGAGGAAGTGCTTAATTCGATTCGGGCCCCTCCATTGCCAGAGTTTTTTCCATTTGCCGTTTGGAGCAGCCTCCAGCTCATCAGCAGCAAGCCTGTAGACAGACTTCAGTTTGAAGCGTCCATCTTTTTCCAGACCCTAGATAGTTTTATCCTCGCCAAGATAAAGTTTGGGAGCTTCCATTCCTGCAATAGAGACCAAAACATCGTTAGGGAGGACTTGTTTGAGCCTGTCCCAGTCCCACTCACCTTCCTGCGTTGTCCATTCAGCCACTGTGGAATTTCTATCTTCCTCTGTAAGATCAGTAAGGCAGAATTCCTCCAAGAGGACACCATTTTCCAGCCAAGGTTGTTTCTAGAAGCTTGTTGATTTGCCATCTCCGATGCTCCAGCACGTTGCTTCCTTCATCAATCTCATTCCTTGAAGGACAGCTTTCCAAAGATTTGAGTGATTGCTCTTTTTCATTCCTTGGATCTCCCCATTTTTTTGTTTGAAGTACTTCCCCTGCATCACTTGTACCCACAAATCAGACTCATTATTCAACATTTGTCATCCCAACTTAATCATGAAAGCCATGTTCATGTTGCGGGCAGATTTTAACCCCAATCCCCCTTGGTCTTTAGGTCTACAGATATTCTCCCAGGAGACCAAGTGGGGTTTCTTTTTGCCATCAACAGAACCCCACACAAAACCTCTCACTTTTCTGTCAATAGTTTCACATACTAACAGGGGGAGGGGAGTGGTTTGCATTGCATAGGTAGGTAAAGAGTTAAGCACAGACATGGCAAGGGTGACCCTGCCAGCAAGGGACAAGTTCTTAGCTTTCCAGTTAGACAATTTTTGGTCAATCCTATCTATAATGTACTAGTAAGTGCTAATAGTAAGTCGACCATGTAAAACTGGAACTCCAAGATATCTCCCAAGATCAGTAGTAGATTGGATTCCAAGTCTACTACAGATCTCCTTCCTATTCTGGTTCTTAACATTTTTAGAAAAGAACACTCTCGATTTTTCCTTACTGACCATCTCCCCTGATGCAATGCAGAAACGGTTCAGGGAATCTAGAATGATATCAGCATGATGAGGGCTTGCCTCAGCAAACAGAACAAGATCATCAGCAAAAAAGAGGTGTGAGAGGGCTGGCCCCCCTGGAGAAAGTCTACAGGGTTTCCAATTCCCTTTCATCACCTCTTTCTGAATACAATGACTAAGTCTCTCCATACAAAGTGTAAACAGGTAAGGGGAGAGGGGGCATCCCTGTCTTAACCCATGTGAGGGCTTGAAGCTCTCAGTCTCACTCCCATTCCACAGAACCTGGAAGCTGGTAGATGAAACACATTTCATGATCATGGAGATGAAACTGTTAGGGAGTCTAACATCTTTAAGGGTATCTTCCAAAAAATCCCATTCCAGCCTGTCATATGCTTTGGCCAGGTCGATCTTCAGAAGCATAAGACCCTTCTTTCCACTCCTCCTAGCCATGGAATGCACTGTTTCCTGTAGGATGATGATATTGTCAGTAATGTCTCTGTTTGGGATGAAGCTAGACTGGTTTTTCTGGACAAGGATAGGCATAAGGGGTTTCAGTTTGTTTGCAAGGATCTTAGCCACCACCTTATAACTAACATTGCACATACTGATAGGTCTAAACTGACTCATATTAGAGGGTCTTTCAATTTTTGGAATCAGGGCAAGAAGGGTTTCATTCATATCTTGAATTCTAGATGGGTTAAGAAAGCAAGACAGGATGAACAAGAAGAAATCATTTCCAATAGAACTCCAGCATTTATGAAAGAAGATGGCTTGGAAGCCATCTTTCCCAGGAGCTTTGAGTCCACTCATGTCCATGATCACAGCCTTACCAGTCTCCTTATTAGGTTTATCACCTAGTCTTCTAAGCAATTCATCACAAATCTCAGGGAAATCAGCAGGCACACCATGGATATCCCTAGCTAGATTCGAAGTGAAAAGGTTGAGAAAATACTCCCTGGCCAACTTATGGAGCTCAGTTTCATCATCAATCCATTTTCCTTGATCATCCTTCAGGTAACTGATCATGTTCCTTTTCCTTCTGCTGATTGTACTGTTGTGGAAGTAACGTGTGTTCATGTCACCTCTAACCACCCAGTTGGTTCTGGACTTCTGGATCCAAAGTCGTTCTTCCTGCCAGAGGGTTTTTTCCAGTTCCTCTCTTGTGCTTTGCTCCTTCTCCAGTGTACTAGTGGTAGGTCTTTTTCCATTCAACATTTCCAGAGAATTGAGCTCATGGAGGAGCTGTTTCTTTCTCTTGAAAATGTTCCCATACACTTCTTTATTCCATGTCATCAGTTCACCCTTGAACTTCTGCAAAGAGTCAGGAAACTCACAGCCAGTAGTCCAGGAGGAAGAGATGAAAGGGAAAAAATTCTCATGGGCAAGCCAAGAAGCCAGAAACTGAAACCTTCTCACCTGGTTCTGTTTTCTTTTTTCATCCATAGTGTTGGTGAGGATAGGTCTGTGATTCGATTTAATCTTGGGGAGATGGAACACTGTTGTTTTGGGGAATTTCTGTTGCCATTCAGTGTTGCATAGACTCCTATCCAATCTCTACTTCAACCTAGAGGCTTTAGTGAACCAGGTAAAGTGTGGTCCAGTGTAGCCGAGATCCAACAGGTTGCAATCCTCAATGCATTTGTTGAATGCTCTAGTCTTTGCAAAGTTGAAGGCAGCTCCTCCTTGTTTCTCCCATGATCGAGAAATAGAGTTGAAATCTCCTGTAAGGAGCCAAGGAAGGTTAGAACTACTCTCAATGATCCTAAGCCTATCCCATAGTTCAATTCTATCATGATCATTAGGGCTAGCATACACAGCAGTAATACAAAATCTAGGCTTTCCATCAATGAAACATTTCATATGGAGCAACTCCTTGTGTTTATCAAGAAGTTCAAGTTCCAAGTTACTCTCATTCCAGAGGATCCATCCCCCCACTAAAACCAGTAGCATCAGAAACCTTCCATGAATCAAATCCAATTGATTTGATCACACTAATGGCTTCTTCTCCACTAATTCTAGGTTCTAAAATGCAGACAATATCAGGTTTGTGATTATCTTTATACAACTTAAAAGTAGGCAGAAATTTGGGGTGCTTTGCACCCCTGTAATTCCAAGAGAAGACTTTAACCATTAGAGTGGATAAAAGAAAACTTCCCTGGATGAATTTCAATCAAAGATCTTCAATTTTCCACGGCCATAGTCGTTCCCTTCTCTTCAACAGAGCTGTTTTGTTCTGCTGCAGTGAAAGGTTGTACATTTTCAGGTGCTTTTGCATCATTCTCCAGGTTGCTGCTATAGAAAATCTTCCTGGGAATTCCACTCCCACTTTTAGGGGCAATCTCCATTCTCTTGGCAGTTTCCTTAAGTCCCTTTTCTGGCGATGGATCCTTCATTTTGGGCTGGTGATCTGATTTAGCATCCTCCAGGAGTTTTTTGTCACTTGCTTGTCTACTACTCTTGGAGTTTGAGGATGTTTCCTTACTCTTCTTCCCTGGTGTTGTCTTTGTAGTAGCATGTGTTTTTTCTCCTCCCATCTGGTGTTGTCCTTCCTTTTTCATGTTTGAGGTTGCAGGCATGCTCTTCTTGATTATCTCCACTGTTTTTGCTTTCTGCTTGGTTGTTTCTGGTGAGATTTTCTGGTTTTCCTTACTTTCATGTAGTTTATGTTCCTTTGTTTTCTCTTGTACTTTTCCTGTTCCTTGATTCTCCTTGTTTTTCCCTTTCTTCTCATTACGGCTTACCTCCTTCGAGCCAGTAGGGTCAATCTTAAATGCCCCTTCTGTCCGCTTGATTTGTTCCTTGGACTGACTTGGCTCAACTTCCTCCTTGGTAGTATCATCACCATCTTCCTCCTCCTCCACATTTCCCCCTTCCTTTTGTTCACTCAAGACATTAAATCTGGAGCCTTTATTATCCTTCTTTAGGGAGTCCCTTGCTTCTTTTGGCGATGCATTCTGGATTCTGTTTTACTGTTGTGGTTTAGCCTTCTTAGTTCTTGTTTCCAACATCCATGGGCCATAATCTTCCATGATTTCCGGTCTAACCTCCTGTGATACGCTTGAATTGATGTTAACCTTGAGTCTGTCCTCAGGGGTTAGGGAGTTCTCCTGATTTTTCAGTGGACACTTATCCTCCAGGTGTCCATAGAAGCCACAGTCAAAGCAAACAGTATGAAGCCCTTGATATTCAATCCTCCTGACACGCCTCTTGATTCTGTATTTCGATACCAATCTCTTCCGTAAATCCACTTCGACACATAATCGAGCATAGTTTCCTCTAAATCCATTCGTCGTGTTGTAGTCAATCTTCTCCACACGACCCAGTTTGTTTCCAATATCCATGAGGATCTCTTCGTCGAAGTAAGCCAAAGGAAGGCGGGGCAGTCTGATCCAGACCGAGGTCTTGTCAATGGAATCGAAATATGGATCAAAATCCAGCCTCCATGGCTCCGACACGATATAGTGATCGTCGATGGTCCACGGCCCACCGTAGAGTGCTCGATCGTGGTCTAGCTGTGTATCAAAGATGGCTTGACAGTAGCCATTTCCGATATCCCTAACTTTCACCTGTCCAGTTTTTGCCCACATTTTCTGTACTCTTCTCTGAGTGTAAGCAAAGGGGAAGTTCTTACCTAGGACTCTGAAAGTGATTGCCCTGTTCCATCTCCTCTAGATCCTCGAATTAGTACGCTTCTTGATCCGAATTGTTGGGCAATCTGGGTCGTCTTCTCCGTCCTCCTTTTCCGACTCGTCGGACATAAGCTCGTCCCCTTCCAAATCCTCGTCCTGCGGCTGGTTTCCCAGCACTGAATCTCTGTAGGAACATCTTTGGGCACTCTCTCCTTCCCCCATTGGGTCATGATTTTCTTCCTCCCTGCAAGCTTCCTTCCCTTCACCCAAATCGGCAGTTTGGGTCGTCGCCGTCACCACTGCAAAATCCATCTCCCCTTGTCCGGAGAAACCTTCACTGCACCATGCTTTGGCTTTTTTACTCGGTTGGATCGGCGAAACTGCCGGGGAGCCCTCAAGCGGCTTTAGACAGTGATCGGATTCCAAATCCGATGGCTGATCGCCAACGGTCATCGCGCCAGTGGAAGAGAGAGGTCAGAGCTTTTTCTCTCTCTAACCAACGGTTCTTTTCTTCTCTCTGTTGTTCCCCTCTTTTCTAGCTATATTTTATTTGAAAGGACGGGTCGGGTTGTTTTTTTTTTGTTTTTTTTCCTTTTTCTTTTTTGCTTTATATGTGGAATTAAATCAAATATGAAATAGCAATGAATAGATGTGAATGTAGGTACAATGAAAGTAAAATGCGATGAATTGCAAAACTATTGAGTTGGCAACAAAAACAACAAATGTAATTAAGTTTGCAATTTCATTGATGTAGATGCTCTTACACACCTTTCAAATGAAAGTCAAACTGATTTATTAGCTTGTCCAAATCTAACATACCTTGTTTCTAAACAATTTGTTTTTTTTAGAATATTCTTAAAATAATAGTCTAACTGTTAATATGATAGATTTTCTCATACATGCAGTGGCGAAGGCAGGAGAGACTATATCCCCCCTCAACTCTCAAAATTGTTTAAATTTACATGTAAATTTCACAGCAAATTTGAATAATAGAGTAGGTGGGTAAGACTTTAGCCCTCCTCGCCAGTTCAAACCTTTGAACGTAAATTTTTTTAGCTCCCCCCTCATTCAGATTCTTGGCCCCGCCACTACATACATGCAAGCAACTGAAGGAGAAGTTCACTTTGAAATTCTTAACTTGAAGCTTCTAATATGAAAATCAATAATAAAATCACTACATCAAATTTTTCGTATGTATTAATATGAGAATTTTAACTAGATCGAGATTACTCATTAAAAAAAACTTGATTAGATTTTATAATGTTTGTATTGGAAACCATTGGCAGACTAAAATATTAGTCACTACTTTACATCTTGTTGTACAAATGTAGGGTTATAAGTATAATATGACTATACTATGTATTTTTTTATTATCAAATATGTCTTTTCACTATTTTTTGTATCGAACTTTGAAAACATTATCAAAATCTGATAAAATTATCATCCGAAAAAATCGTCAACTACGGTTTACTCTTCGTCATGCTAAGGAATTGGAGGACAAGATAGAATTAGATGACAGAAGAGAAAAATGAGAAGGTAAATTGTTGATGGAAGGAGGGTTAGGATTTGGTCGTAGAAAAGTAAAGAATGACAGATTTTTGCAAGGTAAATATTATAACGTGAGATTTCAAAATAGCTTAGGAGGTCACTTACTTTAAATAAAATCTCTCATACCAACAATAATAATAATAATAATAATAATAATAATAATAAAATTACAGCTCTTTCCCAACCAGTTATTGGACCAAAATCCCTTATTATGTAGGATTGTATCCAGACGGTCCATAGGTGTGTTTCTGTGTCTTACAAAGGACAATAAACCTTTTTTTTCTGAACTTAAAAGCTAGTAATAATTAGACCAATAATGATGTGTATATAATTGTGGCGCTAGCTAGCTATAGTGTGCCCATACCAATTAATGGCCCTATCATCGTAACGTTACGAACGTACAGCAGCAGCACGATCCCAATTCCTACCCAGCAAACTATAATTTGGGCCGTCTGCGTACAATCGCTTTTTCACAAGAAACAACAACAACAACATCATTCCATAATTACGGATGGTCCACTCAAATTATAAACGATCGTGCGTGCGTGCGCATTAGGACTACGTACAAATACAGGCGGTCTGCTGGGTAAAACAAAGTATGGGCAGTTTGGATGAGATAATTGTCAACGTTGTATTTGTAGAGTCAAATAACTTATTTATTGTTCATGTGGTCTTTCGGTGTTATTTAAGTGGTAATTGAAATAAAGTATATATCTCGTTTGGTTGAACCAATGCAAATGTTGTATTTGACATGTGGTATTTGATAAAAGCATAGTGGTAAAATGAGTTATTTCAAAATAACACATTGGTATGAGTTATTTACAAATAACTCGTTTACTGTCCAAATAACTCATTTCAGTAAAACACTGCCAAACGAGTTATTTGTGTCTTAATAACTCATTGTGAGTTATTTGAACCCAAATAACTAATACAAATACTCCTTCCAAACGACCCCTCCGTATAATTGAAAGTAACCGTAGAAATGGTAGGTCCGCGGGTCGGGGGCCAGGTCGACCCAATGGGTAAACAATGTATATAGAAAATATTCGTTACTTTCGTTATAAGACCAAGAAAACAAACCATTTTATGATAAATGTAGCTAAATTATTGGAGAAATTGAGATTTTCATTAATTTACAAGTTTATTATAGCTAAAATATAGTGTAATAATAGGATAATCCTAAGTAATTTTGACTAAGATTATATTTTATTTTGGGCAAAAACGGGTCAATAATTTGGCGGGTCAGGGCAGATCGGATCGACGAGAGTACCCATGTCCGCTTCAGAACAATCCGAATAGGTCGAGTAAAATGGGCGAGGTAGAAATTATCATCACTACATGCAATGCAATGCAAGCCAGATAGATAGACAGGGTGAATAATAGTGGGATAATGTTACCATTAACATTTGAAAGTTATAATTATAGAAGGTATTGTGACGTACGTAGGCAGGTAAAACATGAATTGGAATTGGGTTGGAGTCTGGAGATGCACAGAGATGCATGACTTGCATTATTCAACTGACAGGCGGCATGCAGCAGGGCTAGCTACCACCGGCCTATACCAGCTGCTTTGTTGTTTTATGTACAACAAGGTGCTGAAATGGCCGCCTCAAAAACCTCTTTTTTTTTTTTTTACTGTTGGAAAGGAAAGCCAACCCCCAACGACAGCGACAACTCATTCCAATTCCCACACACACTTGTTTATGTCAACATTGGAACTGTGTACAAAATCATGGTTAAAACCGTACCGGCGCGCTTAATATTTTATGATTAGGTGTGCTCCAAATCAATGTACAATTAATTCCATCTAAATACACAATCATTTTAATTACTTCACCTGCTTCCGAGATGCGAGCGAGAGAAACAATGCATCTTTGAAGGAGCAAGAAAGACAAACAGAAGAAGGCCAAGAGGGGAACTGCAGTAAGGATGTAAGTAAGTAAGTAGGTAATAAATATGGGGGAGAGCAGCAGCAGCGCAGCAGCTTATTAGGTTAGCTACCTTCGGGCTGTTTGTTTGCCTCGCATTTAATACCCCGCTTTCAATGCGCCCATGCTGCTGCTGCTGCTGCTACTTTGCCCAGCGAGAGAGGGAGGATAGGCTCTGATCTGATGCATGCTGCTACGGTTTCCCAGTAACCTACTGTAACTGTTTAGAGAAGGAAGAATCGACCGACCAAACGATAGAGAGTTTGTATATAATATGAGATGACTAGAGGTGGCAATTTCAATCCAATCCACCAATCCAATCCATTAAAAATATCCACCTAATCCAATCCATTTTATCCAAATCCAATTGGATTGGTGGATTCATGGATTGGATCCATGGATCATTGGCAAATTACGGTTTAGTACCTATAATTTTTATTTTTTACATTTTGGTACCTAAAATTTATTTTT